ATTCTAAATTACCCGGATTAAACGGGTATATAGTACATGATAGGGCTTCCTCCTTATAGTAACTGCTATCGCGCACCCGCCTCGGCGGTTGGGTGCACAGAGCGTGATGCTCGCTATAGGGCGCGGGCGGGACAGGGGGTGTGCGTAAACCCTAAACCCTTAACTCCGTATTATATCGCAACATTATAACCCTGATGGGGATGAGGTAGCGAAGCAGGGGAGGTGAAGGGAGGGGAGGGGGGAAGGGGAGGGAGGGATGGGGAGGGGGGAGGGTTTGGGCGGAAAATTCCAAACGCCCTGAGGCTGGGTCAGCCTCGGCGAACTCAGGTTCCTAACCAGCAACCCAGTAATAAGCAATAGCTAATATATTATGACCTCTTAGCTGCATCATTATGAATAATTAATTCAGGTGTTTCGTAATAGGCTTAACTAGTGAAAAACGTTCGATCACGGATGAGGTCCCGGGCGGCCTCCAATGCATCGTCCAATGCTACAAAGAGAAAGCCGATGGAGGCCGGGGCGGAAAACAAATTTGAAGGGCCCACGTGCTGAAGAAGCCTGACAAGGTACCAGTATTCTTCCCACATAAATATATATGCACACACACATACACCCGCGTGTATTTATATCAAAATATAAATATACATACACACATACATATACACGTACAGCCACGGTTTGTTTATATGGCTACCGTGATATGGCCCAGAACCCTATTCCCATGGTTTAGGTCCCTGCATTGCCCATGGGCTGGTTCCTTGGGCCCTGGAGTAGCTAATGTTCACTCAGCCTTTGGAGCTTCATGAAATTTAGCAAGTACTTGTAACTGGGGCTTTAGCCCTACTTACAAGGGTAACCTACATACGTCCAGCTAGGGTGCTGATGGCCAGGATTAGGGTTTAGGGTTTAGGGTTTAGGAGTTTAGGGTTTAGGGTTTAGGGTTTAGGGTCAAGTCCCGTGAACATGCAAATCCTAATGATAAGACACTCATCCCTAAACCCTAATCCCTAAGCCGTAGACAGTAATCCGGAAATCCTAAGCCCTAACCCCTAAACCATTATCCCTAAACCCTAATCCCTGAAACTTAAAGCCTTAATCTCTACGCCCATCTAAGGGCCCACCCACCGGCCACTAACATGGGCCCCTACCTGTTTCCTGGGTCCTAACTATGAGACTTTAATTGGTCTGGTCATTTTTTAGCCCAACCCTAACCGTCACGTTCCTGAGGTTTCTTTTCTAAATTCTTGGGCTGACGGGATGATGCGCACAGGGATGACATTGAACCCGGAAACCCTGAAGGCTGCATTGAACAGGGTTTAAGGTTCAGGGGCCTAGGCTTTGAAGTTTAGAGTGCAAGGCTTGGAGGGTTTTGGGCTTGGGGTTTGGCATTTAGGATTTAGCATTTACGGTCGTCTAGCACTTTGCTTGTGATTCAGACCATGATCTTAACCCTTCTGGGGTTTGAGGCTTAGGGATACAACCCTAAGCCCCTAAACCCTAAACCAGGTTGTAGGGTTGCTTTTGGTTTAGGTTTGGGGCCTAGGCTACGATCTAAGGTTTAGGGTTTAGGGTTATGGTTGGTCTTGGTTTAGGGTATAGGGTTTAGGGCTGAATGCTTGAGGGGACGAGTCTCTTCCTGGCGCGAGGTAAGCCCTAGACCCTAAACTCTGAACCCTAAACCCTAAAGATTCCATGCCTTGCTCGGTATTCCCCACAGATGCTGAAAAGTCGCATGTGCTCCCTCCTGCTTCACCGCAGAAGCCAACCTAAACCCGAAACCCGAGCTGTGTATTCATCATGGACCCTAAGGGTCCAAGGACCCAAATAACAGGGCTTTAGGGCCCAAATACTATAACATTAAAGGTATTTGGGACCTAAAACCCTACTATTTCGATCCGGGGAATCTTTACGACTTTGAGGGTCTGGGTTGCCGTAGGTAGAGCTTCCAAAAGCCTGTCGGTGCCACGATATCCCTAACCCCCCAACCCTGGCCGTAATAAAAAAGTCTGAGAACCTGAAAAAGCCTTAGCCCGAAACCGTAGACCCTAAATAAACCCATTGTAGTAGTTTCCATTTTCTGTTCCATTATCCCAATATTACCCCTATATGAGCCGAAAAAATAACCCCGCATATAAAGATTATAATAGAGCCCGCACTATAG